AAAGAAAACACCAAACCTTTTTATTGTTGCCTTAGAGGGGGAGATTTTTATTTGTGTGGGAGGGGGGAATTGTTGCCTTGGGGGTACATATTACAAAGGTTACATTCACACTTCCCTTTTACATATACGCCCATAGCGACACAGGCGGCCGCTTTGGGGCCCTGGGCACAGGGGGCCCGGCCAGGACACCCCCCTGATGCCGTACGGGCCGCCTGGGTCGCTATGGCATCTCAGGCTGCTGGCTGTCACTGGCGGGTGTGAGGAGGAACGTGTCGCTGTTAGATCTCCGAAACCTGTCAGTGATCTGTGCAGTGGCCCGTTCCTCCTCACAGCCTGCTGACTCAGTGACAGCCAGCAGCTGTGGAGGGGGAGGCTGGGCCCGGCCTCAGCAGCAGAGGAGGAGGCGGGCCCAATGATGGAAGAGGAGGTGGGGCCAGTCGACTGATGAGGCGGGGCCTGTCAGCGACCGTGGAACAGGAGGAGGCGGACGGCGGATTGGGGCTGACAGGTAAGAGAGCTTGACCAGCCCACCTGAGATGCTGCAGAGCCCACCATAGAGAGTCTATGGTGGGCTGTTTGGGATCTCAGGTGGGCTCTGCAAGGGGTGTAACTAGAAATCACAGGGCCCCATACAAAATTTTGCTATGGGGCCTTGTGATTCCTAGTTACGCCCGTGGATGTGGCTGCTGTACCCTCTCAAATTAATGTCCGGGTGACAGTGGCCACATCTCTAAGGGGCAGTCCCCATGTAATCATATATGATACCATTACATGCGGTTTGGAATAGATCACTACCATGTGTCCAGGGACAGTGACCGCATGTAATCGTATTACATGCGGAGTGCCAGCAGTCTGCCGCTTATAGATGTGGCTGCTGCGACCTGGTTATTAACTTAAACGGGTGACAGCAGCCACTGCTAAATGGGAAATTTGGGATTCCGGCTGCAGGAATCCCAAATTGCACATTTAAAAATAGTGTGAGTGTAGCCTAATTATCAAGAGTTATTTAAAAATATCCCCCACAAGCAGCAATAATAAATTATTACTGATGCCTTGGGTGGTAGAATAATATCACTGCCTGGGAAATGTGCCTCTTCCTTTAATTAATGTATGATTTATTATTAAAATTGTCTGTCTACCTTTCTCTCTTGAGTTCAGGTCAGCTTCGGCTCCCACGACACTGCAGCCTCCAGATTATCTGGAGGCACACCTTTGCTTTCCCAAGTCCCTACGACTACTAGATAATCTGCAGCGGTGGGGTGGATTGATATCTGCTGCACTGTGCGGGATTGCAAGCGGCATTGCACATGGTCACGCATCACAAAGATGTTAATGAAGCATAACTCTGTGTGTTAAACAGCAGTGCAGCACTGGCCTATCACTGTCTGTAATGTGCCCAGAGGGCATGAGGCAGACTGCCGGCACTCCGCATGTAATAAGATTACTGTGCGTGCATGCATGTGGCTTGTGCATGCCAGCTGCCAACACTATAACTTAAAAATTGGGAGCCGCAGCTCCTGATATTACTCTGCATGCAGCCACTGAAAGTAATAAAATAGTCCCCTGTCTACCTGGGCTCTGGGAGTGGACCGGCCTTGTGGGGCAGTGGTGTCACCCCCTGGCGGGTATCACCTGGGTGCGTTCCGCACCCCCGCATCCCCCCCGTGATGCTGTGGAACTGGAGCAGACTAAATGTGGAGCAGTTGCTCATGGAAACCATTCAGCTTTTTTCTTCAGTTTGTACAGTTAAGCTTTGAAAATGAAAGCTAGAAGCTGATTGGTTGCCATGCTCCAGTCAGTGGCGTCACAAGGGTGACACCATTAGAAGGGGGACACCAAAATGACTGTTAGTCATTTTGGTCATCCCTTCTGAAAGGTCGGGCACTCGGTCATGGACTGAGAGGCCAACAGTTGCAAGAGAGAGGAGGGGACCCGAGGCATACCTTGTCCCCTCCTGTTCCCATCCATCACCAAGTGACCTTGTCCCCATCTGTCACCAAGATGTATGCGTGCGTGCATGTGTGTGCGTGATGACGTCCCGGTGGGTGTCATCCAGTGGCTGCTCCGGGTGACACCACTGTTGGGGATGCCCCTGGCTCCAGTTTTGATAAATTACCCTCAATGAATGCAAAATGACAAAGAGGGGAATTTATCATAACTGGAGCAGACAGAATGTGGAGCAGGTGCCAGTGGCAACCAATCAGCTTCTCTCTTTAGTTTGTTCAGTTACGCTTAGAAAATGAAAGAGATACGCTGATTGGTTCTGCCTGCTCCAGTTATGATAAATGCATTCATTGAGGGGCTCCAGTTTTGTTAAATGCCCCCTTTGTACGTACCCCTGTAGACAGTGAGATGAGCTGTAGGCACTGCTAAACTCTCTATCATGGTCCAGTGTGGTGTGTCCGGTGGTGTATGCTGGGAGGGGGGCTCTCTTGTCGTCTATCACCTGTGCAGTCAGACAATAGAGGAGGCGGCGCTGTCCAGCACGTAGAGCTCCTGAAGCAGGTGAAGACATCGTAGACGGAGGAGCAGACTACAAGTACCGTCATGCTACAGGGGACTGGTGCTGGTGGGTGTCTGTGTGGAAGTGAAGACCCCTTTCTTGGCGCTCTCTTGTGGTCTACGTGGGGCTAGGCATGCTACAACGTGTACTGAGGGTAGCACAGCCCACCAGCTTCGCCTCCTCTCCCATCGTACTGCACACCTCCCTTCTTCACTGACTCCCGGCCACACAGGCTGCACTCAGCGCACGGTCCGGGCCAGCTGGATGAACAGACAGAGGACAGGAGGGGATCTAACATCTAGACAACGTCCAGCAATCCTGGAGCCCGGTGTGTGACTCGTCCTTGCCGTACCTGTCCCATTTACCGGCGGGGCATCCTCCGTGCAAGAGTCCTGCGAGCTCCTCTCCCCCGGGAGGCAGAAGATGCGCCCTGTCTTCTGACACTGCAACAGCGATGATTCCCGAGCAGTCCAACCATGTCGTGTCCACCATCGAGAACCTGCCGGCGGAGAGCATCTCCAGCAGCCCCGGCCCTGTGCAGAGGATCAGGAAATTGTTTAACAGGTGAGAGGCGAAGGAGCCATGGACAACTGGCACAACTAATGGCAAAGTCTTCGCCTGTGCACATCATAGGGCTGCCCCGATCAACTTAGCTCGCATGAGACCTTAAAGGCATAGTCCGCCTGTGGCAAAAACATTCATTAATGCACACCTATTGCAATAAGAAAAAGGTGCTCTTATTTTTATTTTATAGCAATGGAGCCTGCAAAGCATTGCATCTGTGATCAATGGTGCAATGCATAGGCTCCTGCAGACGCTTCTTTCAGCCCCAGAACTGTACAGAGGTACAGACCTTTGGTAATGTGGTTAGAGGAAGTAATCAGTGTATTGTAGATTCAATGCATGGGCTTCTGCAGACTGTTCCTGTAACCCCAGGTCCATACCTCAGTAAGGACCTTCAATAGTGGGGCTGGAGGAAATCAATGGGTTGTAGATTCAATGCATGGGCTTCTGCAAACTGTTACAAAACCCCAGGTCCATACCTCAGTAATGTCCTTCAGTAGCAGGGCTGGTGGAAATAATCAGTGTATTGTAGATTCAATGCATGGGCTTCTGCAGACTGTTCCTGCAACCCCAGGTCCATACCTCAGTAAGGACCTTCAGTGGCGGGGCTGGAGGAAATAATCAATGGGTTGTAGATTCAACGCATGGACTTCTGTAGACTGTTCCTGCAACCCCAGGTCCATACCTCAGTAAGGACCTTCAGTTGTGGGGCTGGGGGAAGTAATCAATGGATTGTAGATTCAATGCATAGGCATCTGCAGACTGTTGCTGCAACCCCAGGTCCATACCTCAGTAAGGACCTTCAGTACTGGGGCTGGAGGAAATGATCAGTGTATTGTAGATGCAATGTATGAGCTTCTGCAGACTGTTTCTGCAACCCCAGGTCCATACCTCAGTAAAGACCTTCAGTAGTGGGGCTGGGGGAAGTAGTTAGTGGATTGTAGATTCAATGCATTGGCTTCTGCAGACTGTTCATGCAACCCTAAGTCCATACCTCAGTATGGACCTTCAATAGTGGGGCTGGATGAAATAATCAGTGGGTCGTAGATGCAATGCCTTTGGACACTTCCTTCAGCCCAGGTCTGTGCCTAGATACAAACCTTTAGTAATGTAGCTGGAAGAAGAAATCAATGGCTGGTGAGTGCAGAGCATGGGCTTCTGCAGAGTTCCTCAAGTCCCAAGTCTGTACCAAGATATGGACCTTTGGTAATGTGGCTAGAGGATGTCATCTGTGGATGGAAGATGCAATGCATATGCTCCTGGGGCTGGGGGAATAATCAGTGGATCACAGCTGCAATGCATGGGCTTCTGCAGACTATTCCTGCAACCCCAGGTCCATACCTCAGTAAGGGCCTTCAATAGTGGGGCTGGAGGAAATAATCAGGGGATCATAGGTGCACTGCATAAGCTCCTGCAGACGTTTCCCACCAGCCCCCTTACCGAAGGTCTGTATCGGTACAGAACTGGGGCTGGAGGAAGTGTCCACAGAAGCCTATGCATTGCACTTATGATCCACTGATTATTTCCACCAAGTAGTAAATGACTCCAAGAAGTAATCAGTGGATTGTGAGTGCAAAGCATGGGCTTCTGCAGAGTTCCTCAAGTCCCAGGTCTGTATCAAGATGCGGACCTTTGGTAATGGGGTTAGAGGAAGTAATCAGTGCATGGCGGGTGCAATACATAGGCTCTTGGGGCTGGGGGAAGTAATCAGTGGATCACAGTTGCAATGCATGGGCTTCTGCAGACTGTTTCTTAAGCCCTAGGTCCATACCGAGGTACGGACCTTGAGTAATGGAGCTGAAAGAAGTTATCAGTGGATCGCAGATACAATGCACAGGATTTTCCAGTGTTCCTCAAGCCGATGCATTGCAACCGTGGTCCCCTGATTACTTCCTTCATCGCTATTATTGAAGGTCCATACCACAGTATGAACCTTCAATAATAGTGCTAGAGGAAGTAAGGGTAGTTCAATAATAGGGTTGGAGGAGGTAATCAGGAGACTGCGGTTGCAATGCAAAGACACTGGCAGACTCATCCTCCCATACCAAGGTACAGACCATCGATAATGGGGCTGGATGAAGTAATCAATGGATTGTAGGTGCAACGCTCAGACTCCTGCAGACTGTTCTTCCAGTCCCAGATACAGAACTTCTGTTATAGAGTTGAAGAAAGTTATCAATGGACTACAAGTGTAGTGATGTAATTGAGAACTCCATTGAGAGCTACGCGTTTCTCTGTGAGAGTGGCTTACAAGGCTTGTAGTACTTTCATTTAGAGATCCTGTGGATGGATCTGGGAATAAATTATGCAGCTCTCCAGGTGGAGACACGCACAACCGTATTTTTTTTTCAAATTAAAAAAAAAATACACAGGAGCCTGTGGGGAGAAGCAGCTTTTTGGAATGGCACCATGTTCCATGTTTCACCCTTTCAGAACAAAGAAAATGGAACTAAGGTGGAATTAGCCTTTAACTGCCTCCGGGTCGGCCGTAGTAGAAAAACGGCCGGCCCGGAGCTCTCTAGATCTGAGCGGGCGTCTTTAGACGTCCGCTCAGACACGCCCCCTCGCGCGCGCCGCTCGGCGTGCGCGAGCGGGAAATGGCCGTTTTTTAAAAACAGGCAGCGATGCCTGATACCATACAAGCGATCCGGCGGATCGCGTGTATGGGGTGCCGATCGGTCGTCATTGAGCAAAGATCAATGTTCAAAATGCTGGAAGCATTAGAATTCTTCCAGGAGTCATTTGTCATCTATAACTGGTAACCTAGATGACATTTGCTTGCTTTGGGTTACTGCACATGGTGCTACTTTATTAAGCAGTGTGTATTAATAATATAGAGTCATACAATATTTTGCTGTACACAACCTACATGCACCTAGTGCAGTCATGTCTGTTTTGGAATAACGTCTATGTGACCAGTAATTACTCATTAATGTCGATGTCCTATAGTGTCACTTAGCAATGTAGCACCTCTCTTATGCTACCTGTGAAAATGGTCGAGGAATTTCCAGGGCTCTCCTTTGCAAGCTTTGTACTATTCATAGTAACCGATCAATAAGTGTTCAGGTTTACCCAGTCTGATTACATGCTGCAATGAAAAATGGCTTTTCTTGAGTCAAGCTTCCGTTAGTCTTGAATTGTTTTGTTGGTAAATAAAGCATGTGGCCTCTATTAGAATTGCATTTAGTTTTCTTTATTGGAACAGAAACAAGAAATCGAAACAATGCAGATTGTAATGTAAGTTATTAGCAAATAGATATGATTAACACCATTGCCTTGCAGTGCTAAGGTAAGTTTGATTTATACAAGTGCAAGTGTTATCCTGTTTGTTTGTACTGCATTTCCTTCCTGTATACAAAAACATGCTAGTTAGGTTAACTGGATTGTATCTACCTTTGTTTTAGAGCAGGTGTATCGCGGTGACTGGTTTATTACATTGTAATGTCTTTTTCAAACATAATTGATGGGTATAGTCAGTCCTATATAGTATGAAACACTGCAGAACATTGCAGACTGCGTAAATGTATTTTATATACATAAGATTTTTCTTTGTGTTACATAATGCTACCATTATCAATGAAGGTTATAATAGCTATTTAGGTTGATGCTATAGCCTACACATATTTCAAAAGGCTCCGCATATGACCACCCCTTTCCACTCTGCTTCCATAGTGCTGCTGTGCAAATGAATACTGCAGATTGTTAGCAGGTGCTCATTGCTGACATATTTTACATTTAAGAGCTTACACGCCTCCCCAGGTTTGCCATTTCAGCTTCTGAAAGATCCAATGCAAATACAGACTTTCTAAAAGTCAGTTTTTCCTTAGAGCTAGGTGTTCCAGCCTGCCGATCACGTGAGAATGCTGATGATATATTCAGACAATGAGATAAAGGATGAAGCAGGCTTTACTTTTTACAGCACCGCTGTTGCAGGATATCCTTTAGGAAATTTGAAATGCCTATGTGTACAAAAGCTGATTACATTAGGCCTGGACAAATCCTTCTGGCTCCTAAACTCTACATACATTTTTCAGCCCTTGGTAAATCTCCCATTGCCTCTGTTGTGATGGGAACACAGAAGAAGTTGGGTTTGTTGCTCCTTTGATAACATGTGAAAAATACAGAGTCCTTTTCAGTTATGATTTTCCTGCATGCTGTGTTTTAATAGCCGAACAGTGTTCGGCTCACTTCACTTCTGATCGGTCATTCACTCGGCTGCCCTCGGCAGCTTTGTGAATAGACCCCTTAGTAACTTATCATGTTACAGTAACTTGTTTTTAAAGTGACATTAAACTCAGGAGTTAAAACTTTAAAATGCACCCTAACTATTAACAAAAATGTATCTTATTTGTGTATCACTCGACTGTAGATCCTCAAATCATCTCTGAATGCCTTGTGACCTGACTCTGTGTTTCCTTCTGGAGGGTGGTTACTTTTGTTCCCCATGGTCCCTGTGTGTGTTGTAAAGTAGCTACCGTTCCACGCTCACTTCCATGATGGACTACAATCTCAATACAAATTGGTAAACTAAATGTGAGATTGTAGTCCATCACTGGAGTGAGCTTGGAGCGGTGACTACAACACACACAGGGAAACATGGGGAACAAAAGTAGCCACCCTCCAGAAGACAGTATCAGCACCAATTCAGAGATGATTTGAGGATCTACAGCCGAGTGATACACAAATAAGATACATTTTTGTTAATTGTTAATTTTGTTAGGGTACTTGAATGTATTTTTAAGATTGAAGGTTTTTAGCTCCTTAACAATATACTTTATCAGATTTAAGACATAACATTACATTTTTGTTTAAATGGCTTATTTTGCAACTGGATTCAGAGGAGTATGCATCATCTGTAGTGATGGGGTGGCCTTGGATCAGGGACTATCCCTAGGGGAAGCAGTTCAGATATTTAGGCAGGGGTGTGCCAGCCACGGCTAAGCACCAGACACTTGTGTCCAGAGCCATATGACTCCTTACACTCTATCATCTGGACATTT